AGCATCTGCTAAATGACTAAATGTAAATATATATATATATATATATATATATATATATATATATCAGTCATCTTATACGTGACCAATCTAGTACGCTCTACATAGGCAGCAATACTGATGCAAGAAGAAAATTTGAGGGAAAATTCTCAGTTTTGATCATTTTAAACTATTTTTTATCTTTTTCTTTATCTTTTCTTCTTTTTTTCTTTTTTTTTCAGTTAGATCATCACAATGCACACTACCAAAATTTTGGTGAAATCGTACATGCATTGTCTATTAGTCAATAGTGTAGCTATGTATGAGGCACAGCTCACACAGAAGACACTTTCAAACCAAGCAGCTTTCTCTGCGGATCAGAGCGCTGAATTCATGTGACCAACGTCAACCCGTTGCAAAATCCTCAATTGAAATTCCAGATCCGAGTGGATATCTATTGAACTGACTGGATTTTGCTTGCGAATCGGTAAATGTGACTGCACTTTTAGAATTTTGCAATGTAATTAGGTTGCCTACCTTATAGCCTCAACCTTATTAGTGTATTTTCGGTGTCTTGAAATGCTGCCTCCGTAGGCAGCTCACTATGTTCTGGAACAGAGCCTATGCCTTCCAAACACTCACTCTTGTCACGATGCATATGACTCACAGTCCATCAGGTTTGCAGGGACATACTGCCACAAGGGACCCCCTGAGAGAAAAACAAATCTCCCTCACTGACAACACACCTGTCATAAGTGGCCACGATGAAGTTTAGCAGCAAGCCGATGGACTGGTCCACGTTTATCTGGTGGGTGGTGGGCAGCCGCTTGTTGAGCTGGTAGAAGATGGAGGACAAAATGGTCTCCAGACGTGACACATTAATCTCCGCGTTGTGGTCTAACGTGCTCAACCCATTGTCACGGAAAGCTTCGATCATATTCCACACGTCCACTAGATGAACTACGACAGGAAAAGCACACCAGTGAGATCATTAAAAATACGGAATGGATATGTTTAGTTGTTTTTCATATACAAGTACAAATTTACATGATATACAACCAAAGTGGCTTTGTACGACACAAAATGGTATTTTAAAATAAATGGAGACAGGACTTACGGTTGCATCGTTTCTGAACAAATCGTAGCTTACATGCCGTCCTATACGTTGAGAGGCGAATAACATCAAAGTTTTGTGCCCCTGGTGAAAATGACATGCATCAGTTTTGTTACTTTCACATTGCAAAGTCCCTTAAACCATTTTATAGTTTGCCCCAAAATTCTAATTTTGCCATTATTTACTAGGGTTGGGAATATTTAGGCATCTGATTCTTGAGTGCACTTTTATTAAATTACTTAGTACTTTTTAAAATAACTACAGATTGATAATAAATAAAATCATTGTATGGTAAGAATTGTAATTAACTAAATATACCTTCAAAACATTCAAGGAAATATAAACCATATATTACTAAAGACATAACAGTGGCAGGTTTAATAGTTTGCATTCACACTAATGCACAGATTTATTTTAACATATCAGATGTTTTGTCCTGTCCTTAAGACATAACTGATTGTGTTTACATTAATTTTGCATCATAAAAGCATTTTTGAGATGCTAGTGCAGTGAGTTTCATGTATCACATTTACATTGCATTCCAAACTGCAAAAAGTATGCCTTCGCAGAGCATTTGGAACAGAAAAACTGAAATACCAGTGAAACCGCACAATTTCAAGCAAAGAGCGTGTTTCTCACAGTGCATATCCTAAATCCAGAATCAAGATGAATCAGAGAATCGATTGTTTTTATCCCGCCCCTATTATTTACCCACCGTCATGTTGTTTCAAACCTGTATGACTTTCTTATTTAAAAGGAACACAGAAATGTTGAAAAATGTACTGGCTGCTCTTGTCCACATAAAGAAAGTGAATACACTCATAAAAATGAAGGTTACAAAAGGGTTTTTTTTGCAGCAGTGCCATAAGATAAAAGAATAATTTTGGGTGCTCTGAAGAACCTTTCAGTTAACAGTTATTAAGGGTGCGTTCACACTTGTCATGTTTGGTTCGATTAAAACGAACCCTGGTGCAATTGCTCTGTTAGTGCGGTTCGTTTGAGTAAGTGTCAACGCTGCCATCCGAACCCTGGTGCGCACCAAACAAGCGGACCGAGACCGCTGAAAACTGAAAAGATGGGTCTCGGTCTGCTTCCAAACAAACTCTGGTGCAGTTCGAATGATATATGAACGCAACACGGACCAAATACTTCTAAACGAACCAAAAACAGGAAGTAATGACAAGATGCAACGCTATGCGACATGATTTGATGACGAGGTGTAACCAAAACAAAATGAGCAGAGGGCAAACGTGGATTGAACCCTTTCCAACAATGACTGTATGATTTTGAGATCCATTTCTTTTCACACTGAGGACTACTGAGGGACTCATACACAACTATTACAGAGACTTGTCACAGCATTTACATATTATTGCTCTTTTGTTGGTTGTGATTGCTTGTATTATCCTCATTTGTAAGTTGCTTTGGATAAAAGCATCTGCTAAATGACGACATGATTTGATGACGAGGTGTAACCAAAACAAAATGAGCAGAGGGCAAACGTGGAGCAATGATGAGGTAAAGTGCCTTTTATGAGCTCCTTTTGAGTTTGCAGGTGGTGAAAATAAAATTATATGTACACTCAAGAATGAGCGCACTTAGTCCAGCAGACGGCATTAGGTGTGTTCGACTTAAAGCGGCACTGTGCAGACCGATCGGTGAATGGGTGCTTTGATATCATACACCCGCAGCGCCACTTTAAGTCTAACGCACCTTTTGTTTGGGGTGTTCGGTGAGTTCCGTCACGATATACTGTATACGTCATTCAAGCCGACCAATCAGGTTGTGAACGTATCACTATGCCTTCAGGTTTGGTGTCTTTAGGTTCGCTGTCAAAAATGCCAATGTGAACGCTAAGCGGATCAGGTCCAAATGTATCATCTTCCTTTTCGGTCCGGACCAAATTAACCAAACGAACCGAACTACAAGTGTGAACACACCCTAAAATAACAATTTTTTCTTAGTGTAAACAACATTTTAGGGTGCATTCACACCTGTCTTGTTTGGTTCGATTGAATCGAACTCAAGTTCGTTCCCCTCCTTGGTGCGGATTTTTTGGGCAGGTGAGAATATAGCAATCGCACTCGGGTGCGGACCAAACAACCGTACCGAGACCCAGCTGAAGAGGTGGTCTCGGTCCGCTTCCAAACGAACTCTGGTACGGTTGAATGGATAAACCAATGAATGGATGACCTTAAGCACATGTGTGGTTTTGTTTACAGTTTCTGGTTCACTTGCAAAAAGGGCAGTGCGAAAGCGAACCGCACCAAACAAAAAAAAAAAAACATTGTATTTGGTCCGGACCAAAGCAAGTGAACTAGGGGATTGTCCTGGTGTGAATACACCCTTAATAATCTAAAGAACCTTTTTGTACTATAAAGAACCTTTCGTGCAATGAAAAGTTTACACGGATATTAAAGGTTCTTTGACAGAACCATACATTCCAATAAATAACTTTTATTCATAAAAGGGATCCCTGCTGTCGAGCTGCAAAATGACAAAAAATCCCCCACCATAAAGGCACAGTCTAGTCTCATTAGTAAAATTTCATGAGCAAATAAAGATCCATTGTCTATTGTCAATATAGAGTAGCAATATATAAAGCACCGTCCTGTCAGGACCACTATCATCAAAGATGATTGACAATTAGCATACAGTTTGGACACAGACGTCACTTTCAAATCAAGCAGCTTTCTGTTGGTCAATGCACGTTCCCAACTTGAACACATGCAAAATCTGCATGGACAATTTTCACCCACGTGCGAAACTCCTGGTTGCACAGATTTCACCTACGAAAAGTTTGTAGAGAATCTGTAAATGTGACCTTCAAAATTTCATAAAAGCAGCCCACGTGATTTGTCCACCTTTTGTGTCCCACAGAAGAAAAAAACGGAAAAAAAAAAAATTGTCATACAGAACGTCATGAGGCTGAGTATTTTCAAGTGACCTATGCTTTCAAAAATGTGTAATCTATGACATGTACAAATATACTTTTAACATACAAAGCAACTGTGACATTTTATACTGCAGTTTTACTTGGACCATCATCAACCTGGTTCAACTGTTTTCTCAAAATCAGTTTTGCCTTCCATCCAGAGACACTAGTATGTGCCAGTCTATTGCCCTGTGACAGTGAAAGGCGAATAGATCTCGACAAGGCCTCTGTGTATGTGTGTGGTGCATTGTGCAGAAAGTGTTGTTAACTCTGAAAGCAACTCACTCATTTCCATGAAGAGCTGTCTCTTCTCCACCATGGACTTGCTGCTTTTACTTCCCTCTTCAATCATTCTACACAACACAAAAAGGTCCATTTAATACCACAGCTTAACCACGGCCTCATTATGAAGACACAACTCACAATAACAGCAAAAATCACAAAATAGCATTTGAATATGCTTGTAAAGAAATTGTAAAGAAATTGAAACAGCTATACAAATACAAAACAATTACAATACAACTATTTTAATTTATTTTTGACAGCCATTTTCTTTTACAATAATATAATGACCAATTAAATAAAATAATGAATGGTGCTTTTTTTAGGAATCTATTTATCTATCTCTGTGTATATTATTCCACATTCCTTTAATCAAAAGACTTTCAAAACTCTCCTGTATGATCTTTTGCAAACTCATAGTGCATATCGTCAGTCCACAGGAAACTCCTTAAGACTCTATTACTGACCTGTCAGGTTGGCTGGGACTCAGATAAGGTGATGCAAAGGAACCAGGAAGCTCCTATGTAAGGAAAAACATTTTGATGTTGACATCTGGAGAAATGCCCCTCCCCCAATCCAACCCACACACATACAAAAATAAACCCTGGAATAAATCCCCCGTTCACAAAAAGGGTATTTGAGCTCTCTTGCTCTGTGCTAGTGCTGATTATGTATGACAATAGTGTCTGCAGAGACTGCATCCTGTGAGCTAATGAAACAAGAGCCGCTAAGGAGCCACTTAATAGTGACAAGAAGAGGACACATCATAGAGGCAGTGAGTATAATGACTGTGGAAAAAGGCGATACATGCATGTTGCTGTGAGTAAAAGTAATGTGCAGAGGCAAGAAAGATGAGAAACGAGCCGCTAAGGAGTCACATGAAGACAAAGAATTCTGAATGTAATGAGTTTAAAAATATATACATAATACTGGATATTATAGTAATGTGTGGAGTTATTATTACTGTTGTGTAATTGTAGTTCTTACATCTGCACCATAAAATGTTACATCAGCCGTCAACTCATATTTACATGCTGCTTCCATTAGTAGAAAAGGATTTTTAGAAATCCCAATGACTTGAATCCTTTGATTCAGATGATCTGTTCTGATTCATTCACTGATTCAGTAACCCTTTCTGCAGGTTACATTGTTATGCCAGTAGACTGTTAGGCAGTAAATTGTGTGAGGGATTCATTAAAGGAAAGGCTCACCCAAAAATGAAAATGCACCCACCCTCAGGCCATCCAAGATGTACATGAGTTTGTTTCCTCATCAGAACAGATGTGGAGAAATTTAGCATTACATCACTTGCTCACCAATGGATCCTCTGCGGTGAATGGGTGCCGTCAGAATGAGAGTCCAAACAGCTGATAAAAACACCACAATAATCCACAAGTAATCCACACGACTCCAGTCCATCAATTAACATCTTGTGAAGTGAAAAGCTGCGTGTTTGTAAGAAACAAATCCATCATAAACCATCGCATAATCCATAATTATGCTTCCTAGTGAAAAAGTCCATCCCCTGTTGTTGTCTCACATCAAAATCCACTGGCCTATTTGTTTAGAACAGTTTGCACTTGGAAACAGTACTTGATCTGTGCATATTTCTCTACTGATTCAGGTGAGACGACTTTGTGTGAATTACTTGTGGATTATTGTGATGTTTTTATCAGCTGTTTAAACTCTCACCCATTCACCGCAGAGAATCCACTGAAGTGCATGTAATGATACATTTTTACGAATGTTCAAATAAAGAAACAAACTCATCTACATCTTTGCATGGCCAGAGGGTGAGTAAACTTTCAGCAAATATTTGAGTGAACTACCTCTTTAATCATTCACTCAACAATTTGTTAATAAACAAGCTGTTCATGATCTAAGTAGTGAACAGAGGCCTATCTAATCTAGAAAGAGATTTGTAGAAAGAGAGACAGAAATGACAAAACTCACATCTATTTTTCTAAAATTGCAGAGCATTACTGAAATCAAGTCACTGATTCAGTGACAGACTCAAAACAGCAGCTGAATTCGGAAAAGAGTGCAATAGTGCCTGACCACTTTTTTAGATGTTTTTTTTTCTATACATATTTATCATAGGGATTTTAAAAAAGTCTTCATTTAAGCATAATAAGCCATGAACCAAGCCAACTAGCTACAAGGTGAATCATAACATACAAACTTTTACTTGAAGCAAAAAAGTATTTAAGACTGTGTAGGTGTGTACTTAGCGGTGTTAGTGAAGAAAAGAACAACAATCCCATGAAGCATTGCGAAAGACAATCAAATTGAAAACAATGGTGAAATATAAAATGAATGTGTTTAAAGTTGATGATTATGTCCATAAAAACGATATATTTTAAAGTATTGCAAGGCACACATAAAATATTTAAAGGGATAGATAGTTCACCCAAAAATGAAAATTCTGTCATTAATTACTCACCCTCACGTCGTTCCAAACATTCAAGCACTTGTTAGTGAAGAAAAGAACAACAATCCCATGAAGCATTGCGAAAGACAATCAAATTGAAAACAATGGTGAAATATAAAATGAATGTGTTTAAAGTTGATGATTATGTCCATAAAAACGATATATTTTAAAGTATTGCAAGGCACACATAAAATATTTAAAGGGATAGATAGTTCACCCAAAAATGAAAATTCTGTCATTAATTACTCACCCTCACGTCGTTCCAAACCTTCAAGACCTTCGTTCATCTTCAGAACACAAATTAAGATATTTTTGATGAATTCCGAGAGCTCTCTGACCCTCCCATAGACAGCAAGGATCCTAACACGATCAAGGCTCAGAAACGTAGCAGGACCTCGTTAAAATAATCCATGTGACATCAGTGGTTTAACCATAATTTTACGAAGCTACGAGAATATTTTTGTGACAATACTTTTGTAACAATCTCCTGTCTATGGGAGGGTCAGAGATCTCTCGGAATGCATCAAAAATATCTTAATTTGTGTTCTGAAGATGAGCGAAAGTCTTACAGGTTTGGAACGACATGAGGGTGAGTAATTAATGACAGAATAGTCATTTTTGGGTGAGCTATCTCTTTAAGTATTTTACAATCACTAAAATACTGTGTTTCATGGGAGAGGGTGTTCCCTGCAGAGACCTTTTGGCAATTGGTGTAATTTTCATCCAGCATCTTGGGTAATGTAGTTGTTCCACCATGATTTCTGCTGCTAAACATTTATTTTAAAAATAAGCTAAAATAAAATGTACAGATGGCTTCAACAAATGCATATGCCATTGATTAACAATGTCGGCATTCACAAAGATTTGCAAGTTATCATTAAATATAAATTTCCCTATTGAGAAAATGAGTAATGAGTTTTACTTCCAGAACCCAACTGTTGCACATCTAAATTCACTGGTTTTATTATAGTCAAAAATATTAGGCCTATTTCACATTACTGAACCAACCTATATACATTCACTTATGCAAACAAAACTAGGCCCACATTTAATGGGTTAAAGGCACAATATGTAATTTTCACCACTAGAGGGCGCGTATTCAAAATAAACAAAGAAACAAAGGCGTAGTTTGATGACGCTGTGACTGAGTGTGGAATCATGGGAGTTGTCGTCTTCATCCCCACAGCCGATGCAATCCGACAGAACTCGGGCAGAAATCATGTTCATGGATGAGCTAATGATTTATTAATGTAGTAGAATGAAGCAGGGTGAGGCTGAAAGCCGTCGAAGCGAAACAAGGCCGCTGAACGAGCGTGACACACGACTCGAAAGCAGCGGAGCTTTTATTATGCCACAGTCGACCGCTTCCGCTCCTTCCGGTCGTGTGTATGTGCGGAAAAAAAAGCAGCGCTGTTTTATCATACTAGATACATTTGAAAGTTCTGTTATAATGCTACTCTGTGCGGTCGT